AATGTTTGTCATATATACGGTTTTTTGTAACTATCGAATGATTTACTACACTTTCTGTAAAACATGAATAAAATTGTTTGTTGATAATTATAGTTACATGAATTAAAACGATTGTTGATAATTTCAATTCGGCGCTAGCGTCGAGCCGATTCTTGCAGAAGCTGAATTTTTAAATCTGGCAACATGATAGTAACACAATATTCCGTCCGACCGCGGCACCGAATAAAAATTATCGTCAATCAATTTAATTATCACCTAAATGCAACAGTCAAAACAATTCATTTTTACAAACTAGCAATAGAAAGTAAAACGGCGTGCCACGCATGATTGTTGATAATTTTTATTCGGCGCCGTGGTTGAACGGCGTTTTGTCGTACTATAAATGAACTAGCATGTTGCCACATGTAACACTTGAACTTCTTGATAAATCCGCTCGATACCAGCGCCGAATTAAAATTATCAGCAATCGTTTTAAATGTATCTTTCAAATATAACAACTTTTTGAATCATCAAAAAATTCAATTCTTTGTCAGAAAGTAGCTTTTTAAAAAGATTGATGGAGTAAAATGATAGTTGCTTGATGATGTTTTGCACAAAAGTTGTAACCAAATTTTAAATTAAATACATTAAAGTGAATGTTGGAAATATTCAACACTTTCAATAAAATTGAAATATAACAATCTTTATTATTCATAGAAAAATATCCAGTATGGAAAGTTAATTTGCTATATTTTCAGACAAACGAAAGTCTATTATTATTACAAAACAAATAAATTGTTAGTTGAATGAATTGAGGAATTAATATTTGTGACAATAAAAATTAAAATTGCGTTCCATAGATATACGAATTGTTAATTCGTGTTTTCGGCTAAAGAGTATATCTAAAGAAATTAACTTTAAACGTTCAAGCCAGTCTCAGATATACCTACACAGTAGGTTAGAAAATCACTACTCCCCTGGCTAATACCACGAAGGGCATTGAATTATATCCGACAGGCGTCAGTGCAGGAATCTTCACAGAAAATTTCCTGTATATGCAAATTTCGGGCATATTTCGGATATGCAGTTGGTTAGTACCTTGTCCACTAGATGGAGTGACATTTTGTTGTTTCGCTCCAACTTAGGAAGAGGAATGAAATACTCCGATTTCCAATTATGGAATATCATTGCCTTTAGGTCGATGATGACCACTATCTTACACTGATGAGTGGCTAATAAGCCCGAAACCGGTCTGTTCGTTCCAAAATTGAAAGTCGACTCTTTCAGTTATATTGCCAATTGCATATGCAGATAATTCAACGTTCTTCGTGGTATTAGCCAGGGAAGTAGTTGTTTTCTGATCCTTTTTTTATCGGATCGTCACGTGTGGTGAAAAGTGGATCCTCTACGACAACGGGAGACGTTCAAGACAGTGATTGGACTCCGATAAGCCACACAGGTACTAAACAAAGACCATTGTTATTGTATGGTGGTTAGCGCCAGATAAGTGGTTCAATTCTGATTCACGACAATGCTCGTCCGCACCTATCTCAATTCACTGTTCGAAATTTTTTCCAAGTTTATGTTCATGCGTTTTTATTGGGCCATAAAGTTTAGAGCAGGAGAGGTTTCATGTTGGTGATTTTTCGTTTCTCTAATTCAGCGAAAATAGGTTCAGTATCTGGCAGGAAATTTTTCTTGTTTGGTCTTTCTTGATGATAGTGAGATTTTGATTGTGAATGACTGATTAAATTTTCTGAATATTCGATTTTTCTTCAAGTATAACGATGGCATTGGATTTATCTGCTTCTGCAGAAATGAAATCGTATTCTCTTATTTTTGCTGATATAGTTTCTCTATGGTTTGATAATGCAAATGGATGGTTCTGAATAACATTGATTCCATATATATCTCTTTTATTTTTCTGTTTTATTGCAATATCTGTATCTGTTTTTAACGAATCAAAACTATTTCTGTTGATTAATGTTGGTGCAAAACTTGGGCATTTGAACATTGTTGTAATTTCCTCTGTTTCTGATCTACTTCTAGATCCAACTTTTTCATAAAAATTGTGTCTCTATCTGATGGATTTTATAAGTCAGTTCAGAGTGCACTTCCTTCAGATACTGTTGCAGAATACCAAGAACAGTGTTTTGCACTCTTCTTTCAGCCATATCACTCATGCCTTTAATGTCGCCTTTTCTGCTGCGGGTGTTTTGCGTCCTGGTTCTGATTTTGATGTGTTTCGAGATAATTTTTATTTCAGGCACTCTTGGTTGAAATTTTCTTTGTAGGACGAAACTGCAGTTACGTCAGTCACAAACAAATACAAGTTTTTGGAAAGAAAGTTTTTGGCTTTCTACTACTCCATCTTGATACAAAAAAGGATGAGGGAATCTTCCAAATAATAATAATACAAGTGTTATGAAAACATAGGAAATTTTATTTATCTTTTTCCATGACGAACCTTCATCTTGATACATAGCTGAAGTTTTCATTACAGTAGCTACAGAATTAAAAAAAAGCGTTGATGATGCAATCTAATGAACGAAACGTCGCAGTATGCAACAATCTTGAAAGTTCCTCCACTTTTTCTCATATTATTTGAAATGGAGGCGGTAGAGCTGAAAACAAAATTCGACAGCTCTACTTTATTACGAATATTTAAAAAACAATCACTGATATTCTTGGTCTGAAGAAAAAATATTTTTTTGTCCAATCTAATCGAGCTTGTAGGTCTAACCGTTTCCGAAATAGCAATAGTGTGATCAGCTAAAAAACGCCCCGTATATTAGTCGCTTGTCCAAAATTAAGAAACCTTTCGTAATTAGTCCACTTTCCTCTACGTGTTTCGAGTCCCTAACTTTGACTAAAAATACGAATCGAAGAAAAGCCATCAAAAAGCGGACCCATTCCCGACCACTATAATTAGTCGCATCAAGTCGCATCGGCAGAAACAAACGAAGAAACGGACAGCCACCTGCCGCCCGTCACGACATCCATCGCCAACTTTGAAATCGGCCGAATCGGCCCTAAAACAAAGCGTCGCCCTTGCGGACCGTTTCCGGCATAAAAACATTCTATAATAACACACGTACGACTTTCGGTGCCGGCCGAGAAGCGGTAATTATCCGTCTGCGATCGAGAGGGCCGTGGGCTAGGACCGTTCCGGACGCGCTCTATCATTTCGAGGCCGAATTCGGAGCCTCGCGGCAGTCCGGAGAGGCGCCCGGGTGCTTTTCTAGCGGTGGCCGGAGTCTGCGAAATCGGGTTAATGGGGTGAGGGTTCCGAATATTCGGAGTGATAATTGATATCACTACATCTTCATAAAATAAAGTTTCCCCGACGCGTCTGTCTGTCTGAATGTGATAAACACAGAAATTACGGAATTTTCATACGGTTCCTCATCTCTTTGACATTTAGTAAAACAATTCACTACTTATTGTTCTTAATTATTGAAAATGTTATTTTCAATAAGGGAAGGGAAGGGAAGGGAAGGGAAGGGAAGGGAAGGGATGGGATGGGATGGGATGGGATGGGATGGGATGGGATGGGATGTGATGGGTTTTGAATACTCGTCAAAAATCAGTTTTTTTCGAAATTGCTACGTCAATTACTATTTCTTGATGAAATAGAAGCTATTATAAAGGGAAGGGAAGGGAAGGGAAGGGAAGGGAAGGGAAGGGAAGGGAAGGGAAGGAAATGGAATGAACAAAGCATCCTATTTGCATCAGCAGTCATATTCATTATATGCGTTGTAAATGTTGATTTACTGTCGTATGTTATACCAAGATCTTTTATCTCATGTACGCGGTTGATTGTAGCATAGTTGACTGAATAATTGTATATTAAAGTTCGCTTTTTTGTTGTAAATGATATTATTTTACATTTCGATACGTTGTAGACGATTATAAATTAACACACCAAAGTTCGATTACATCTAATTCATGTTGTTCACGTTGACAGTCAGTAATGTCGTCGATTTCATAATATAGTTTCAGGTCTTCTGCAAATAGTAGGCTAGGAATATTCGAAGAGGTTACCAAGTCATTTATAAAGATTAGAACCTTGTGGTACCCCAGATGTAACTACCATCGATTTGAAAGATGATTCATATTCGACGAATTGTTTTCTGTTAACTAGATTAGAGTAAGCAGTTGGTTAGAGAGTAGTCCCAATTTTTTTAATTTGTTGAGAAGAATATAAATGGTCTATTTGATCGAAGGCTTTTTGAAAGTCTAAATAAACAATATCTACTTATTTTTGCTTGTCCAAGAAACCATGCTGAGTAGGAGAAATAACTTTTTACTCCTTTATGAGAGTACATAACATTTTGCACACATATCTCGAAGAGTTTAGAAAAGTTACATAAAATTGAAATTGCCATGTAGTTTGTGATATCGCTAGAGTCGCCATTTTTAATATCGGACAAATTTGAGCCGTTTTTTACTGCTCAGGGAAGGGAAGGGAAAAATGTATTTATGTTGTACATAGTCCTCTTGCAGCTCCTTTTAATATCGGACAAATTCGAGCCATTTTTCACTGTTCAGGGAAGGGAAGGGAAAAATGTATTTATGTTGTGCATAGTCCCCTTGCAGTTCTATACAGTTTTTCCAGTGATATCGTATGGTATTCTTTAAATTCTGCTGCCCAATATTTTACGGTTGTAAACTAAGGAGCAGACTCACCCTGGGTAGAATTCTCTTGAGCTTTTACATCGGTTGGGCAAAGGACTTTCAAATGAAAGTATTGTTCCACACCAATTTTCTTCATTTTCACAAATTCACCGAAACCGTCCCTTATTAATGGCTGCCAAACAAATACTGAATAAGGCAGCGTCTTCAAACTTGAAACGTATGCTTTATAGATTATGTACTTTCTAATACAGTGATACTACCACCATATCTAGGTTAGCCCCGGTACTTCTGGGACGTGATGGAAACCATTTTCATTGATTTAATATGTAGATATTTAGAATTATATTGGAAATAATGGAAATGAATGGATTTGTTTTCTTCAGATCCACAACTGCTGTTATCCACTATTCCTAGTCGCGATCCAGCGTGATGAAGGCCATTTTTCAGTGCATTTGCAAGAAAACAACGGCTGCGACTTCACCCTCCTCTCCACTCCCTTTTGCCAGGAAAAGGAACTGGAGCCGAGGTTTCCGGTCCTGCCAACTAATGCAAACCGCACGGATTTACTGACGCCCGGCACGACATCCAGCCATCACAAATCTAATATTTCTTCGATAACTCGGACACGGACAAGGTGCTGTTTCTTTGACTCTGTTACAGGGAGGGTCAGGATTTTCCTTTTGGCAATTGCCAGTTCAGTTAGAATAACTTTACTTTGACTTTCGATTAGGTCGGTGACCATTCCGGAAGAAGACATAACATATTCAAAAATACACTTAAATGTCATTTGCTAAGAATAAAACTCAAAGTCGTCACCACAATTTAGTATCACTATCAGATGTTAGAACAGTAAAACCATCAATCAGTACATGTTTCAAATCTATATAGGTTCATTATGCTGATTATTTGAAATTCTACAATAGTTACAATACAATAATGGATTTATTGCACGAATCTCCAGAGATTTCTCGGATCCATCTACATCGAAAACCTTATACTATGCTCTCGTTAGATCAAAATTAGAATTGCATCCTTAATCTGGAATCCATCTCATCAGTTGTATACAGAGAAAATTGAATCAGTACAACGTCGTTTCCTAAAACTTCTCTCCTACAGATGATTCACGGTGGATGGCACATTAGACATTTCTGGTGGACCAGACAACGGATCACTTTGAAAATTTAATGGAGGGCATATTCGGACATTCTCTAGCCAACTAAAATATTTTCGACAATGCGGTGTTGCCGCTTCTATTAGAAAACAGTAGCAACTTTGATTTTTCAAATGGAACACTCTGTATATAATATTATTTTTGGAATCTCCAACAATTGCCC